GATACAGGAAGCAAAAAAGCCAGTACAGTTTCTAATTGCCTTTTAGAGACTCTGAGTTCCCTCATTACCTGTGATTTAAGCTAAAAATGAGGTAATTATAGATAACATCAGTGTTTATCTGGTTGATCTTGGCACCTGCAGTCCTAATGTTGTAGCTTATCCATATCTAGTGCCACACTTTACAGTCTGATGCTGACATACCTAATTTACACTGCTCATATTTTCATTGATTTTAAGCTAGGTGTTCCTTGTTCCATTTGAATAGTATTTTCATAATCCTAGCTTTAAAATGATATCAGATGGAATACTGGAATTAAGGTACAGTCCTTTCACAGATGGAAATGTTTCACTAATATATTTCTATATAGATTGGAAATATTCTAAAAGTCTGTCTCTTATTCCTTTGCATTTGATAAAACAAATGTGATCAAAATTCTTGTGGCAATTCTTGAAATATCGGCATGTATTTTAGGGTTACAATTACAATTGTATAAACCTTTTTGTATCAAGTTTAGCTGTTTTACCTTTTGTTTCCTCAGCTTCACATATTCTACACATTTAATTGTGTTCTAATCCTGCTTGTAAATAGTAATTTGCATCTTGCCCTGGCCACTACTGCTTGTTATTCTCTCATTTCTCTATTCACATCTCAGTAAGGAGGTCAGGGTTGGCTGGCAAATCTTGTAATCTATATCTCTGAGGGATCCTTCTGCCAAATGCCCTCTCTCCATACCTCTCAGAAGTATGGAGCGAAGCATGTTTCCTCTCCTCCTTTTTTCCTTCTACACTCTGTGACTTGGGCTTCCTCTTAGTGATCATCCTTGTTCAACCAGCAAATTCATTATCAGAAGCCAAAATAGCTCTCCTTCACCAAGTACTGGAGACCTTCATTCCTAAATTATGTTTAGTCTCTAAACTCTTTACCATTATTGTAGTTGTTTGGTTTCTTAAGTTACCCACATAGAGTTGTTATTCTCTATCTAATGATGTCTAGAAATAGGATAGAAATTATCAAAGTATAGAATGTAATTTTGTATAGTGTATCAACATGTGGGACAATAATTAAGTTTTCTAGACCTAAATTAGTACATAGTTTTATAATTTATGCATCATTTAGGTTAAAAACTATTTAAACAAATAAACTTAGAAAGTACTAACTAGTTTCTTATTAATTTTATGTGCAAATTTTGGGAAAATACTACATTAAAATATATAATTGGAAATATCTCTTATAATCATCAGCTGTATTTATTCAGTGCATATTAAAATTGATTTACTTTTTTTTAAAAAAAAGTCCATATTGCAAGAGGTTTAAATGCCTAAATAAATTATTTCAGAGGGAAAGCATCAATTGCCGCTGCAAAAGTTGATTTCATTTTTGAGAATGATTGCTACACTCATGGCTGTTTTTCAGTCGTAACATTTTTCTTCCTGAGGAGCACAAGCATAGGCTCAAAGAACTTCTCAACACAGTGCTTCTGAACTACTAATCTGTTGACCCTGACATGAGAAATAAAATTTACCCATCCCTGCCCCTCCTTGATTAAATGCTGATTGTTGTCAGGGACACAGTGCCTGCATGCAAGAGTAATTGCCACCAGATGGCACTAGTGTTGCTTTTAAAAAGGAGTCCTTAAAGGCCTTAAAGGTCTAATCACTTAGGCTTTTGCACACTAAGTGTATGTTTTTAACTGCTCACTGTAGCAGTTATTGACTTATCTTCTCAGTCCAGCAGTTGAAAACTTATCTTTTGCCCTCAGACTTAATATTCAAAAACTTAAAATGGGGGGGAAGAAAACATTTCTACCCCAACTTACTGCCAAGAGGTCGTTTTGGGGTGCTTTAAAAAAATCTCATTTTTTTTTTTTGTCTTGAGAGTAATTTAATTTTTATGAGCCTTAGTTTCTTCATTCAAAAAGAAGTAAAAACAAAACTCTACGAGGGTTATTGTAGTGGTTAGAAGTGGTTTACCCAAAATATATCATAAGTTGACTTTTTAGTATTTTAATGACATCATTGTCAGATATATATATATATATATATATATATATATATATATATATATATATATATATATATATATATATATATAGTATAAGACAAAGTGTAGCAACTATGTTTCCTTTATTTTTGCTAATTAAACTGAAAAATTCTGCCACCAAATCTTCACTATTCCCTGTTCTTTTCCCATTGTTTTCCTCCAGGTTTAGGAGCAAACCCATCATTCATATTTCTGATTGTAAAAAAGTTTCATTTTGATCCAGCTCCCCTTGAAGCACCTTTCAATACTTTGAGTCTTTCTAATCTCTCATAACTTAATTCTTGGGAGTAGAATTTCATCACCTGTGGTGCTACAATTATTTTTATATCTTGAGTTTTAATTTTTAAGTCTAAAGATATTTCTTCTTTCATTTACTAGTAATGTACTTTGTGTGACTCTTCGTACAATTTTTTGCACGTCTAAGCTAACAAATAATTATATTTCATTACGTAAGTAATATGTAACATGACCTTAAAAGCCTGTTTCATTTGACAAGATGGCAATAAATCTAGCGACCAGCTGTGCCTGTACTTTTACAATTTCTTGGTACCTGTGAATAGAAGCTGATTTTAAAAGAAGCTGGAAGAGTCATTGCTTTATATTTCTTTCTCTTACTTGGAATTATTGGTGTTTTCAGGCCATGGAAGTGCCTAGTTCCTTTTAGGTTCAGAACACATTTGAGATCTGTGGTGGTTTTGTTTTAAGAAAGCACAAACTACTCACACAAGCATAAGGTTTCTGAAATGTACTCCTCTAATGTTCTTAGTTACTTGTTGCTTATCTCATTTTGAATAAAAGTAAAAACTGGATTAAAAAAACAAACTTTAATAATAGGAGATGTGGGTGTGTATGTATGTGTGTGTGTGTGTGTATATATATATATATATGAAATTATAGAAAATATTTAAAATATCATAGCTAATATAAATGGGTTAAAGTTTTTTTAAAAAAAAAAAAACAGAATTCAGTAAATAGTTTTTTGATCTGTGAGTGATCAAGAATTCAGAAAACAACTGGACCAATCAACAAGAAAAAGCAATTTTAGATCTAAATTTTATATAAATTAAAAAGCCTTATTGTGTTGAAAATCAAGCCAACTGGGTTAAAATATATATGCCTGATAATGTCTTACATGTATGAAAAGCTTCTGTCTTGGATCAACAATAAAGCATCTAAAATAAAATCAATATTATAATTATTACTAACAATTTTTTAAAATGATGTGTACTATGTACGCTTCTGAGGGTGTTTCATGTGTTCTTTTAATCTTCATAATAATTCTTTGAGGGGGATGCTATTATTATTTCATTGATAAAGAAAACTAAGACACAATGAGGTTAAGTAAATTTTTTATGTGAGCTGACAATAAGTAGATACTAAATAGTTTACTCTTTCTGACTACATGGCTGGCTTTTCCATTCTAGGATTGTGATTCTCATGCCCATGCTCTAAATTACTATCCTATTCTGCTTATCGTGGGCAAAGTTTTAATAAATAAGAAACCAGATGACCCAAAAGTTTGAAAATGTTTCAGTTTCACTAATAACACGAATGCAAATTAATATATATTTTTTCATATTAATAGAGTGAGAAAAGACATTTTTTTGGAATGGGGATAGAGATGCCTTTCTTCTAGCATTGTATTAGAGCTTATGCACCATTTGGCATAATTAGCTACAAGCCTCTATTGGAAGAAGAAATGGTGTAATGGGATCTGTTCTACAGGCTGGATGTTTTGATGGCAGTAGGGAATGTGGTATTGTTTTTGATCATTCTTGTGGAACTTTGTGGAGAAGGTGTGTCTGGCTTGTGGTCATATTTTTGAACTCTGGTTGTACAGGTAGTTGAGCTCATGGTGGTCAGCATAGTATGCAAGGCCATCCTTTCTCAAAAGGAGGAGGATCTAGTCAGTGACAACTGTGCACATAAACAACACTGACAGTGACAGAGTTTTAGTGACTTTCTTTTTAGGAAATCTCTCTTAAGAGATTGCCCCCAGGGTTTCAGCTTTGATAATAAATTTTAAATTATAAGTTAATTTTATTGTGGCATCATGGAATTCAAGAGTAATTTCATGAAACTGATCTCAGTAGCCTCAACTGTTGACAAATGATTCTTATTGTTTAGTTTGGTGCAAGATGCTGGAAATATAGGTCTAATTCCTTTATTCAAACTCAGTAAATGGTTTGGGACAATTAATTTCCAATTGTTTCCCAGTAGAGCAGATTTACTTGTATATTAATGAGGCACAGGTGTTAGGCCCCTGGTGTCTGCATGCCTGGGAGGCATATTTCAGTTGTTTATCTACTCAGCCATAGGTACTGCAAGGTACTCAAGCTTGCCTTTAACAGTTTTTACAGTGAGGCTTTTTAATTTTTTGATGTTTTCTTCAAATTTGCCTGCACCTGTTAAAATTTTAAAACCGATCATGTAGAAAGAAGTTGCAGAGATTTCAATAGTAAATACCACCAACAGTTAAAGAAAGTAGTCTTCTATTATACTTAAATGCCCAGCTTAACATTAAGGAGAAAGCAGTTTATTCAAATAGATATTTCATGTGAGAAGCCAGTGTAATCAACAATACCTTTTTTTAAAGTCTATTTTCAGAGTAGATACATGTGTCAATGGCTCAAGCAGTCATGTATTGTTATTAATATTCTTTTTTTTTTCTTGTTTAGTCACTGAATTGCACTACCAACATTTTAGATGGAATGGAATAGCCTCCATAGACATTATGAATTTCAGTAACTGGCATAATTATAGCTATCTACATATTCATTAAATCTACAGAAGAACTGTGTCCAAAAAGACAGCCATGCTTTCAGAAACAGAAACTAAATATATACATTTTAAAAGTTGCATTTCTTAGACTTATTTAAAATTATTTTTCTGTAGCACTCCTCTTGAAGCAGAAGAATTGTAACAAAAGGATTCCCATGCTTTGCTTTCTTTCATATAGGAAAGAATGGGAAGAACTATTTGTAAACAACAATTACTTGGCAACAATAAGGCAGAAAGGGATTAATGGGCAGCTGAGAAGCAGCAGGTTCCGCAGTATTTGCTGGAAGGTAAGAAGAAAATATTTATTTACAGTTTGTGGTTGCAATATATCAACACAGTACCTGATGCCCTGGAAGATTACCCATGCAGAGGATCGCTGAATTTTTCCAAGGAACTTCACTTCAGTTTTTTGGCCATCCGTGTTTATTTTTCATAGGACATTTACTAGTAAGCTTGAACCATGTTAGTCCTGAATAATTTTAAGGGAATCATTCAAAACGACTATCTTTTCATCTGTCTGTATGGTACAAATTTCAGAGCAACACCTTTGTATTGCTTAGAGGCTTTTGTAGAAATTTTTGAAGCTGGGCAGAAGTGGGGGAGGTGGATAATCTTCCTGTTTGTGTTGTATCAAGCACCCTCATTTGGTTACCCTCCCTTCTTCCTTCATAAACAGATGGAAAAGATTTTTCCTGTTTCTTTTGCTAAAAACACAAACTGAAGGGCAGCAAGGAGAATTGGAAGGTAATTGGGTCATTCTCCTTCAGTGGAAAGGTCATTGGTTACCAAAACTGTTAGTTATGATTACTACTTATCTTTTTAATTGCTTTGAAAAAGTATTTCTTTTTGTTCTCCAAAATGAATTAATTTAGGTTTAGATGTGACCTAAATGTGATTTTTATCAAAAGTTTTTAGGGTTATCTGCCTATATTGAGCATAATGAGTCTGTGCAAGCAAAGACAGTAAGAAACACATGATATATTAGACAGCTTTAGATTTAATAATTTAGATTTAATAATTAAAATACATTTTTCTTCTGTTAGATGAAGGCAGTAAAGGCAGGAGACCTGCTGCTAGAATATTTGTATACAAATATTTGTGCCCCACCCCCATTCCCTGTTGTTTAACTTTTAGTATCCTTCATCTGCTAAAAATAAACCTAAGTCTAGATTTATTTTAATGTTGCATTAAACTAAATTAAATCAAATTTGTCTTTTTAAGAATGCTTATTTTCATAAGCCGATTGCCAATTGTAAATTACATTTTTGCTTTGAATGAGTTTGCTTCTTAGACAATATTCTCCTTTCTCAGATTATTCTTACTGTTCTTCTCTGTCCTTTATCTGCTTTGCTTTAAAATAAAACCTTAAATCTAAAAATTACTAATCAGAACTTGTACCTTGTAATATCTCCCTGCTATTTCATATAAGATTAGAATATAGAATGGGAATTGTTGAGGAATTTTTTTTCATTTTTAATATGAATCTGGAGGGAGGCTTGATTCTATTTTATGGTGCAGCTTCTGAGATCTTACTTTTGCTTTTGATTACTCAATTTTTAAATTTCTAACTAACTATATGTTTCTTAAATATCCACAAATATAAATTACTGGAAATTAAAGTAATGATATGAATATAAAATAGCATGAATGGGATATCGATTTTGATTTGCAGGTATTCTTTTGGCCTGGTTTCACATTGTATTTATGATTCTTACAATTTTTTTTTCCCTTGACAGCTGTTTCTTTGTGTTATTCCTCAAGATAAAAGTCAATGGATAAGTAGAGTTAAAGAGTTAAGAGCATGGTACAGCAACATTAAAGAAGTAGTAAGTAAATAGTAAATGTAACTAATGTAATTGTCTTTTATTTATAAAGTCCAGTAGCCTCTGATCTTTCTGTGTGTTTTCATTCTTTACCAGCATATCACAAACCCAAGGAAGGCTGTTGGCCAACAAGATTTGATGATCAACAATCCCCTTTCACAGGATGAAGGGGTAAAGTTCTCCTTTATTTATATCTCAACTATTTTTACCCATTAAAGTTTAAAAGTCACCATGATAACAGTGTATTTCATGACAAGCATTTTCTTTACTCCACATACTGTACTATCTAAAATCTGGTGGAAATAATTCTATGGTATATACATAAAATATTAGAGGAAGTTCGTGATTTACTTCAGTGGAATGGCACTATAGAGAAGTCCCAGCAGTCTATAAGAAGGATAAAATAGAAGAGCATATGCTTAAGAACTGGACTGTTCTATCAAGATGGGAGTGGAGAGGCTAGGAAAGTCTGCCTTCCTATACAGAGAAGTGTCCACTTAGCAGGACTAACTTCCAGGAAGGAGGAAGTATCTCTTTGTAGTAAATCTCTGAAGAAGTTTTCAAAAGACCAGGAAAAGGAATCAGGCTGACCTCTAGTATTCCAGTGAAGACCAAGAATGATCATTATTTTAAAGACAGTTTATAACTTCTTCAAGTATTGCTGCTCTCATTTCTGTCTAGTTAGGTAAGAATAGAAAAAAAAATTCCCATTCACTACATAATGTTAGCATTTGTTTTTCCTGATATATGTAGTTAGTCTTTGGTATTACACCATAATATATTTTTAAAATTTTCTCTAAGTTCACATTTTAAACCTTGATAAACACCTATTAGATTATAAAACCAGGCTTTGTAGAAAACATTGCATATCTCTCTCAGTGCATTGGAAATTCAGGTCAGGTACAAGTTGGGACCAGTTGGCCTATGGATATTGCTCTAATCCAAGTACTTTATTATTATTTATAGGGAGAGTAGTAGGATAGTGTACAGCAGTGAAAATTATCATTCAATTTATAGAAATAAAGAATTTTTAAAACATGTAAAATAATATCAGACTGGAAAAATTGATGTTAGGATAAGGGTGTGTTTTTGAGATTGAACTAGATTTTAATAAAAATTACCCCAATCCCAGGTTTTCTATCTGAGAAACCTGAAATAAGAATTTGGATAAGAAAAAATTTAATCACTTAAATTATTAAATTCAAGTCATAGAAGTCAAGCAAAAGTATGGGATTATTTTAATTAGGTTGTTCTCCTTATTTCAGAGTCTTTGGAATAAATTTTTCCAAGACAAAGAACTACGATCAATGATTGAACAAGATGTCAGAAGAACGTACGTAAAACTATATTACTTTCAATAATTCAAATTGGTATTACCAGTTTTAGCAAAATGTAAATCCATAGAGGAGCCAAAATTGAATGCAGTATTTTACTTGAATGAAAAGCAAAGCCTTTGATCAAATTTTAATAGGGATTATTCCCTATGTTACTTTTTAAAAAATATGTTTCTAACATTGATCTTAAAATTATAATTTTTTTTCAGATTTACATGACTTCAAATGAATTGTTGGTAATTGATACAACTGGTTAAATTATTTTAATATGGTTATATTATGTAGTAATTTATATTGGTATTATTTGCCTTTTGCGTTACACATTCAAATCCCTTTCTTACCAAGTTGCTTTTTAAATGACCACTATTCTTATCTATTTTACTTCTCTTTCTCTTGAAGCTATTGAGGTTTGCAAGCCTCTTAATCTACTTAGTATTTACAATGTGAAAGAGCAATTTCTTGTTTACTACATAATAAATGTTCACAACTATTATATATTAGACCTTGTCTTTCTTAGTCATGTGGTGGGAAGTACATGGAATTTGTGATTTGGACCCTAGGGTGAGTTCTAGCTATCTTTGCTATACAATTGTAGGCAGATTATTTTCAACATATTTCCCCTCAGTTTCATTTTCTGTAAAATGGGGATAGTCTTTTAATCATAAGACTTCTGTAGATTCATGAGTACAGGTTGAGTATCCCTTATCTGAAATGCTTGAGACCAACAGAGTTTCAGATTTCTGATTTTTTTCAGGTTTGAAGTAAATATTTGCATAGCATGTACTAATTGACCACCACTCATCTGAAAATTGAAAATCCAGCATTCTCCAAAATCTGAAATTTCTTGAGCATCATATTGTTATCCAAAAAATTTGGATCTTGAAACAATTTGGATTTTGGATTTTTGAATTAAGGATGCTCAACTGGTACATGTAGTAACAGCAGTAATTTATATATGTGTTCCCAAATAAAATCATTGGTATTTGGGATCAGCCAGGTATGTGAAGAGCTATAAGTATCTCTAATGGCTTCCTCTAAGTCCTTCTGCAGTTTTGCCTGTGTACTCCACTACTAGTTAAACTCCCACTAAATCTATTATAATGTCAAATTCTCTCTGGCTTTCTAAGATTCATCTTTTTCCTGATCCCAAACACTGAATAACCAGATGACATGGACTGCCTTTAAGTTATACTACATATTGAAAGGACAAAAGTTTCTATTTTAAAATTAAAATAATTTCATTTTAAAATGGAGGAATCATGGATTCAGAATTCATCAAAACCATATCTAACTGTGGGGTGCAGGATGAGAAATATGGGGTCATTTTGATGAGTTTGTGTTGTGAAGTTAACTTGGGAATCACCCATTTGTATAGTGAAATTACTGTCAAAGGTGTTAGGTAGCAGTGCTTGATTTCTCTAGGAATTAGAGCACCCTTGTATTGACACACGAGGCATTATATTAATATTTGAATAAAACAAAGGAATTTCTTAATGAATCAAGAATTTGTATGATCAGTGGCAATAAAACAGGCCTCAAAATGTGCAGTAAATATTGCTAACCAATCAGTAGAGGTATCCCTTAAAAAGTGCCAAGCAGTTATATTAAAAAAATTGATAGCTTCAAATCCATCTGTCTACTGAGAAGGATTATAATTCATCTCTCCACAGTTATGGAATGGAAATGGTGGGAGTGTGGCTGTTATGCAGCCACCCACTCAGAGGCCACAGGGACCAGATTAGTTAAAACAAGAGAGGGAGAAAATAAAAACCGGATAGTCAAACCAAATAGGAGCTTTTTCATCATTTTGGTTGGCTACTTTAAACATTTCTGCTTTGCTGTGTAAAAGAGTATTAGGTCTTGAACGCCATATTCTTTTAACTATTTGCTTCATTTTCTGGGTATTTTTCTTGTTAAAGTACACACACACATACACATACATATAGTACTAATTTTTTTAAAAAAATTATCTCTACTACTGTATCTTAATTAACATTGTAAGCTCAAAATTCAAGAAAGGCAATTAGGAGAACCTATAGTTCATAGTATAAATGAGCGAAATTCCATCTCCCCTCCACTTGAAGGCTTTACCATGGTTCTTTCTACATTTAGAGGAGATTTCCGTACCCTCTCTTAATATGGTGCCTATAAGGTAATTAGTTAGTGTCATTTAAAGCCTAATGAATTGCTTAATCACAAAACCTAAATAACTTGAATAATTTTACTACTTTGCACCTTTACAAGGCATTCTTGGTCTAAAGTCCATTCCCTCTGCCCCCATCCAGTCTGTAAAGCAACAAGAAAAAAGTACACAGCTCAGAAAAGGATACAGCATTACTTATTCACTAACATCTTTCCACTTCCAGTCTAGTCCATGTGCTTTAGACTCTTCTCAAAGCAAATGAATAATTGTGCTACTTGCCTAATCCAAAGGTGTCTATGACTCCCTGTGGACTACAGAGAAAATGGATTTACACAGTTTCCCTGACACACACCCAGTGACCTTTTAGACTACTTCTTCTGGCATTACTTTGTGAACAAGTTTTGTGCTTTGATTTTCCATGCTCTCCTCTGCTTGAGTGCTGTTTCCCTCTACTGCTCCCTGTTGGATTTCTGAGAGCTCGCCCTTTAAGGCCTGAGTTGATTACCACCATGTCTCTGAGTTTCTAGTCTTTTCAGTTTGATAGAATTTGTGCCTATTCTATGTTCTATATAATTTTCTTTAAACTTTTTAATGACATTATTTAATTGTTGGGTCTAACATTTACTTAGGTCCACTTGCCAGTGCATTCAGTATATTTATCTTAATTGCTCAGGGCACCAGGGACTGGAAATGCCAAGATAAATATTTATATACCCATAAGAAGTTTAAAGTATAATAGAGGAAGAGGGGGCACAGGGATAGTGCAGGATAGCTGGTGTCGTAGTAGTAGTACTACGTAGAAGAGCTCTGGAGTTAGCCCAGGTCTTATTTTTTCTACCTAATGACAAATCCCTGAAGGTTTTGGCCCTACTCTTTTTTTTGTCTTAATGTATGTAGTCAAGTTGATGCTTAATAAATGATCTGTAGTTGTGAAACTTATCAATGACAATTGGTGCTGTTCAATTCTAGTTACACTAACATCTTTTCAGTCTTTAGAGATATAAGAACCCTTTAAAAATACTTCTGTGGTCAACCTTCTAGTTTAAACAAGAAAATTTGATCTTCTGAGCTGTGTTTTTTCCATCATTATTGAATTTATTTGATCTGGATATGTCACTGTATTAAATATTACCTTCCTCTTCAACTAATTTTAATATTCTTTTATGTCACTAACCCTGTTTTACCTCAAAGGACTTTTCATTTATTTCAGTTAATTGCTTCTTAACTAATGAAGTTGTTACTATTCCCATTTTTGTTACTGAAAAAAAAAACAATGATAATCAAAAGGTAACTCTAGGAACTTCAAGTTTATAGCACTTCTAAATTAGAAACTACATTGTCCATTCTGGACAAATCTTGCCATATTTTAAAAGCTGTAGCATTAATACTGAGTTTTAGTATTATTTAAAATGAAGGGAAATAATGAGCTTAGGGTAAAATATCATTTTCATAGTAGATGCTAAAGAAGTGTTATTTGGTCTATCAAGGTCTATTCTAAAAATATAATACAGCATCTATACCATCATTTGCCAATTAACATATTTATAACTCTTGCCAAATAGTCTCATCTTTAAATGTGTCCTTTCTCTCTCTCGAGTAAAAGATTAGCATTCTTTAACTTGTCTTTATCCTTGTAACTTAACTTTGACTATACTTAAAAATTTATCTAATTGTCAAATGGATGTGCTAGTCATTTTCTTCAATTTTTAGTCTTTTGTATTTCTAGATATTGTAAATATTTCCAGTAGATCATTTTTTCCTTGACTCTTCATGTTGTAGATTGTTTTTTTTTTCCTCTTACAAAAATGGAAACTCATTTTAATGCTTCTTTTTGTTCATAGTTTATATGTTGGTTAAGCTTCAAACATGATTTAAGCAAACTTTGTGCTCACTTATCATTTGCTATTTTGTGTATTTATTAGTAATTGCTAAAATTATTTTTAAAGCAACAGATTTGTGCTATCTGGTTTGTTAGGCCCTAGGTATGTTGTCTATTTAAGCTTAAGATTAAATAAAATAAAATATTCAGTATCCATACACGGTAGTGACATTCAAGTGCTAAAAGCTGCTGTACTTGACAATACATATATAGAATATTTCTGTCATTACAGAATGTTCTGCTGAACAGCAACATACTCATTTTTATATTTTTGTATAATATATGATGTGAGTATCTAAATTTTATTTTTTATTGATGCTGAACATTTAGATGTGGCATATATTAAATGTTTATTTTTATTTCCTTTCTTTCCCCTTGAGAAAAATCTACTCTTATAGTATATGTGTCTTATCTAAGATTTTGGTAAAATGTAGGTTTTTAAATTTTTTTTAACCTGTAGATGGACACAATACTTTTATTTATTTTTATGTGGTGCTGAGGATTGAATCCAGTGCCTTACATGTGCCAGGTAAGGAGTCTACCATCGAGCTACAACTCCAGCACCTAAAATGTAGTTCTTACCTTACATTGTAGTCTGCGGCTAATAACTAGGCCATTTCTGGAAAACAAATAAACAAACAAACCAGTATACAGAAGTGTTTTTACAGTCAATTTTTTTAAAATATTAATATAAAGACCATCTCTCCCTCCCCTTCAATTCCCATTTTGGCAAAAATACTGCTAGTACATTGGTCTATTGACTCTCTCACTTTACAGAGTTAAGATGTCCTAAATGTTGGTATTATTTACACAGTTTCTTCCAAACCCATATTTTATTTAAATAAAAAGCTAATTCCTCAGGGAAGAGGATTTTTACAAACAATTTTAGAGCAGAATTGATTTTGGTGTGAGTTAATGCAGACAATCTGCCCAGTGTTAAAATGTTAAGGAGAAAAAAAAAATACAAGCTGCCATAT